ATCTTTGTCTTTCCTTCATGCTCAGATCTTGCACTGTACCTGCCCTGCATAGATGTGCTATTAATATCATAGAATTCAGTGAGCTTATTTTTATGACTATGACCCGACACCATGCCAGGGATGATGTGCATTTGGTGTGAATATTGTCTTACTCAGTGACAAGTCTGAAGCACAGACTAGAGATAAAAGTGTGCTCTGGCTCTTGTCCATTCTTACCTCGTTCATTTTTTTTAAGGCAGGCCGTTTTTGCCTCATTGGTTTTCGCTGCTCATCGAGTTCCATTAGCCTATTCATTACTGATGGCTTCATTCCCTCCCCACATACTCTGTCTCCTGAATGACACTTCTTGTGTCATTAGCACTGACCGTGATTGCTGGGTATCAATGGAATGTGGCATTTCCACAGGGCCTGCTGGCTGGCAAGTAGCAGCCTTCTCTGTCACACTGGTACCCACAGGAAGGAAACAGCAATTTCAATTATAAAGAACTGAGGACCCTAGGTTGTCTTGCCGACAACTGTAGCCCCAGCCTCTCTCTCTCTCACACACACACTCTTATTCTGGATGGCACTTCTGTATGACCTCAGATACTTCAAAGTCACTTGTCCCTATATCAATACATTACTGTAACCTGGAATTTGCTCTTTTCTAAATTCACTTTTGCACTGGAATTACTCTCAAGCCACCAGCCAGGCTAGAGGTTCAGCATCACCTTTTACTCTCTGCCTTACCCTTCCCTATTCTGACCAGGTACCAAGGTCCAATTATGCCCCCATGGAAGCAATTCTTACTTCCATTCTTACTTTTGCCGCAGTATTACTGCTGAGAAGGCCCCTATTATTCCACCTGGACTTCACCCCAGCTTATTCTGGGCCCCAGCTATTTCCATGCTTCTAGCTCCTGCTCTCCAGCACACAGTTTTTATGGAAAGGTTAAGGGAAGACAGTGTCCAGGCACCAGGAGAAAGAGAGTAATAATAGCAACCATTTTTGGAGCACTTTCTATCTTCCATTGATTTATTAATACTTATTTAACTATCACAAACCCCAAAGGTAGATATTATAATTATCTTCACTTTACAGGTCAAATGAAGATAGAAGATTTCTTAGACCTGAGGTGAAAGAATTTTAAGTGATGTATAGATTCCATAGCTGGAAAGTGACAGAACTGGGACTAAAACCTTGGCTTGCCTGACTCTGAAACTGTCATATTCATGACAGCACTCTAGACCACGGATTCAGTCACCAAGAGGGCTGGAACCACCCCAAAAGTTTCTGATTCAGTAGGGCTGGGGAAGGCTGAGAGTTTGAGAATTTGCCTGTTTAATAAGGACCAGGCCTAGAGACCCCACTCCCCCAGTTGGCACTTGTTGGGAGCACAAGCTCCTGAGGGTGGCATATCTGCTTCAACTCTCACTCTCAGATGACAGCCTGCTTTTGAGTCCCAGGTCTGCCACTTCCTCCCGCAGTATCTTTGAGTCACAGATTTTACATCACTAAGCCTCAATTACCCCTTCTATAAATGGGGTTGGGGTCCACATTGCAGTGATGTTTGAGGACTGCAAACCATGTATATAAAGCTCTGAGCATTGGCACAGCACAGAGCAGAACTTAATAAATATTAGTTGTTTACAAGTATCTCAAATGACCCATTTCAGTATTTGTCCACCTTTCTTGTCTCACTGACTTAGACACTTTGTACCTAACGATCCTTGCCTTTGGACTGCTCCTCTCCAGTTCTTTGCTGTAGTGCCAGGATGGGCACAAGGCAGGTTTTCTGTGACCCGAGAAGATGGGTGAAGGGAGAGTCCTGGAGCCCTCAGTGGCTTTTGAAGACTTTTATTGGGATTTACCAGGTACACAGCAGGCAGGGGTGCCGGCCCCCAGCGAGTCTTCACTCTTCCTGGGCTCTCTGGCGTTCTCTCATGGCCTCTGCTTCGCTCCCTCGCTCTCTCACTCTCTCTTGCTCTGTTGGCATCCTGGTGACGCCACCCTTATAAGTCTCTCAGCCCAGGTGTACCCACTTACATATGCCCACACCCTACTCCAGGTGTCTGCCATCAGGCATACATTCAGGGCTGCAGGGATCCATCATCAATGCTAATGGCAGGGGGGCAGAAAAACCTGATACTTTTTTACCTTACTCTACATTTGCACAGCTCCCTCCTTCTCACACAGAATGCCCCCTGAAATGGACCACCTTCAGGAGGCTCGCGTCTAGATGCTTCCAGCACGTGAGCACCACTGGTTTGCAGGGCAGATTTTTAAGTACTGTTCCATTTTCTGGAGTGCGTATCCACCTATTCAACCTTTTCATTTCTTCTACAATCATCTTTAAGTTTTGGCTTTGAAGGTAATTATCCATCTTCCTTAAATTTTAAAATGTATTGACATAAGCAAACTCAGAGTATGTTCCTGGTATATTTTTAATCTCTACCTTTCGCTTTTAAAATTGTTTGCACCTCCCTCCTTGTTTTGTTGGCCATTCTTGCTGAGGTTTGTAGATTCACTTTGTCCTTTAAAAAAGTTCTGGTATTATCTTTACCTTTGTTTAAGTAATATGACTGACTTCTATGATTCATTCCATTCCTTCCTTTCTTTTACCCCAACTTCTTAAGTTGGATGCTTAGAACTTTATCTGTGCTTTTCTATTTCTTCTAATGCATTGAAAATTGTAAATATCCCTTGAATTTCACATGTCTCACTGCAGCTTGCTTCCTGGTGTCTGTAGGGTTGGTGGAATTAGTCAGGCTTTTTACGCCACTAGCCTCTGTGGCTATCACTGCGGCCTTGATCTTGTTAACTCAGAGGGCGCTTGGGAGCGTGGGCGCGGGGTACGCATGCCTGATTGTGGACCCCTGGAGTGTGGTGTGGGCATGCGTAAGTGGGTGCACCTGGGTCTGGAGGCTGAGGCTATAAGGGCAGCGTCACTCAGACGGAGGGCGCCTGTGGGAATTACAGACAGAGCCTGGAGAGAAAAGCAAGCTTAAAGATTCACAGGGGGCTGGGATGTTCGGTTGCCTCCAGAGCCTCCTGCCCCCCAACACCACTGCCAACCCTGTGCCTAGTTGCCCCACAACAGTATCTCTCAATATTTATGAGCAATTTGGCCAAACAAAAAAAAAACCTGTTGGAATTCAGGAGGGTATCACCCCCTCCTCAGCAGAGGATCAGCTTTGCTCTAATTGTTGGGGGCACTGAAGATTCTGTGTTATTTTCTCGGCTCAAAGTTTCCCAGCTCATGAAGGTGGTGTAAATGTAAACCTCCAATCCATACCACCACTGGGTTGCAGTGGTAAATTCTCAGGAGAGACCATTTTTTTGCTTCCTCCTGGATTTAAACCAAGACAGAAGAAGTTCTCCCTTCATCTCCTTCAGAAGGTGGGTGAATGTTTTCTATCCCTCCTTTTCACTGGGTGATAGCAATTCAAGCGCCTTGAATTTATGTGACTTTTCAGTTGTTGGCTCCTCCTTGCACATGCCACCAGCCCTGTCTCCTCCATCTTGTGCTTCTATTAAAATACAGCGTTTTGGTGGACGGCCTCCGGGATAGTGAGCGCTAAGTGTTATTCTAACTAACTGCTTGACTTTTTATATTTACTACTCTCCAGGGATTTCCTTTCCTTTCTTTCTAATTGAGCTTGGTATTCCAAAAGGGAAAAAAAAATCAGTGTTTTTTCCCCAAATTCTTTAAGAGCTTAAAAAAAAGTGTATTTTGAGACTATTTAATCTACCAGAAATTATGCTAATCTCAGATACTGTCTAGCATAGTATTATTGTATCATCTCTATAATACTTGCCAGTATGTGAATTTATTTTATTTGTGTGTTTATTTTCTCTTCCTCCTCTCTCAGTTAAATGGAAATAACTTGAAGCTAGGCACTCTGTTTATTCCACTGGTGTATCTAGAATAGTTGCTGGCATACAGTTAGACTCAACCAAGATTTGTTGATTGACCTATAAATAATTTCAAATTACTTTTACAGTGAACTGTATCTAATGCAAACTTTTAATATAATCTCATATTCAGTCATTAGCATGACACATATTTATGTGATATGACAGCAGATTATTTAAAAAGTTACTCATGTTACCATTATAAAATATATGAGTGCATATGTGTGTTCAGTATATGGGTTTAAAACTATCTGGAATGACTTGTACCAAAAACTAATTATTGCTCATTATTGAGATTTTACATAATTTTTCTTTCATTATAATACTTTTACCATAAGCATATATGACTATGATTTTATAGTCAGAGGAGGGGAAATGCATCTTTTAAAGGTCTGTTTCCTAAGTTTCAAGGTGGCATGTATATGACTGGTAAAGCTTCATTTTGTCTTTCTCGTAGGGTCTAAAGTTTAAATGATGTGCATTTGTTCCTACTTTTCTTAACCAGAAACAAGCCATTTTCAAGCTTCATCCCTACTATCATTCTGGTCGTTATTGGGATGTTTTCTTTAACAATATTAGTCTCTTTCAACTTATCACTGTGCGCAAGAGGTTTATGTAAGAAGCTGCTAGAACTCCACTTAAGTCTGTTCTACATTTGGTACGTTCATCCTTTTGAGTTTTGTTATGCTTATCATGGGAAGAACAGAGTCCAAAATGTGTTCTACGATGACCTCATGAATGGATAGGATAGCACAGATCCTTTTTCTCCAGTCACTACTGTCTGGTCAGCCTAACTTTTGACTCTGTTAAATTCTTTGTGCTAGACATCATCATTCTTTGTTTTAACAATAGCCAGAAATACAATACTATTAACTAATCCTCTTCTCAACTACCTACCATATTTGCATGAGTGATAAGTCTGGAGCTGAGGAAATGAAGTAAGCATCAGTTCTTGCCTTCACTCCCACAGAGACATTAAAAAATGCAGTGATACCATCGTGTCATACGTGTTGTGTGAAGTGCTTTCAGAATTCAAAGTGCTGAATGAATGAATCAATCTGCCAACTATTTTTCAGTCATATCACCACTCTAACCACTTTGTTCTAGCAACATTCTATTTCTTACAGTTTTCCATGAACATCAGGCCATGTTTTAAGCTCTTATTTATATTGTGCTGTCTAGCTGGAATCTCCATTTTCTGGGTAAATCCCTACTTGTCCTTTATGATTTAAAACAGGCATCAGCTCCTTCAGGAAACTCCAGTAGCACATCCCCAGACAGGTTGGTTCTATGGATTTATTTACTCATTCATTTAACAAGCATCCTGAGCAGCCATGATTTGTCAGTCACTGTGTTAGATCTGGAAAACACTGGTGAAAAGAAAGGTTATCTCCTGTTCTCAGGGTGAGATAGTCACTAAACAAAAACAATGACACTAAAGAATAAAATAAAGACAATTTATGATCGATTTGTTTGAAGAAAATGTGCCTGAGGTTGTGAGAGAACATGTGGGACTGGACTAAGAGGAGGGTCTATCCAGGCCCAGAACTGGGAGAGTAGGTACGACAGAGGGAGAAATATGCTCCAAGGCTCATCTCACCCCATAATACCCAATGTTTCTTTGTAATTTTGTCTGTACCTGTTGTAATACACGTGTTAGTCTCTAGGTCTGTCATCTCAAACCAGAGTTCCCTGTGGGGAGAGTGAGATCACCCATCCACAGCTGGGAGCCTGATACTTGGTCATTCTCAGTAAGTGCTTGCCCAGTGAATGGTCAGGTGGATAAATGGGTGGATGGAGAGAGAGGAAGAGAGATGTGCATGGCTTCACAGATGAAATGACATTTAAATTGTTTCTTGAGGAAGGAAAAGGGTTTTTCAGAATGAATAGGCCAAGGAAAGGTATTCAAGCAGAGGCAGAAGAATACACAAAGGTAAAGAGAATTGAAATTCACATTGAGTTTAGGGAACAACAAATACTTGCCTGGTGAAGAGAAGGAGAAAGTGGTAGAAGAGGGAAAGACACAAAGATACAAGAAGTTTGGCTTCCTCAGGAATAACCTTTAGTCATTTTATGGCAGATAATGCTAACCATGTAGTAAACAGCCACATATATCCCCTTACTAATTGTTTAAACTAAGTTAATCCTACCTACTAATCCCCTAACATAATCTCGAACTATTTAATAGTCTTTCAAGAAGTAATTCAAAAACCCTGTTTCCTTCATCTGTGGCTTCTTCAATCTGTAAGGCATTGGAAGCAGTCAGTGGGGAGTGGAAGGGGACACTGTACCTTCTTTTTATATATGACCACACAATTCTAATACCAACAAAGAGTTGGAGGTATAAATTCTGAAGTACTGACAATCACAAACATCCTTATTGTAATAACATATAATTATAGCAATGCCAATAATCCTTATGTGTAAGGATTTCTTTCTAATGCATTTTCCCACATAGGCACTCTACATAAGTCATTTTTTTTTCATCAAATAACTCTCATAAATATATTTTTTCTTTGAAAATAACTTTAAGATAACAACAATTTATTCTATATATAAGAACAATTTTTCAATTAGTATTCAGATAGTCAATAGAAGAGAGAAAAGGTTAAAATACAAATTATGTTCTTGTAGTTGCAGAGATAACATGGAGGCTTTTTATCCTGTAGAGATACAAATAACTTCTGTCCAGATTAAATAGCTGATCAAGTGAACTAGTTTTATGTACCTCTTTATTGGTCATAACCAGTATTGTGCCTAATTCAGAAATCTTACCCTAATATTTCTTGATTAAATTGATTCTACTAGATAACATTTCACATTCTCTTTGAATTGACTTTAATATCTTACTGGCTCCTCCTCTAATTGATGTGTTCAGTAAAATCACTTGACCCTTTTTGGAAATTATACTTTAAGAATTGTCAATCCAAGTGAAAGAAAAATTGAGAGTGCAGATCAAGCACCAGCTTCATGAAGATGGAAGCAGTATATTCAGAACAACATGGTTACCAGAGCCACATAAAGAGAGAGAAATAAGTAAATGCTGAACTGAGAAAATCATAAGAGATATGTGAACTACCCAACCACAATGCTGTCACTGTTTAAAGTTTTAAGTTCGAAGCAAAAAGAATTTACATTATTCAGAATGACTGTGCTTATTATATACAAGAATAATAAAAGAATTTTACACAGAAAGTAAAAGTTCAATAAAGAGTCCTTAAAATGCATCAGTGAATGGGAATCCAAATGCCATTAATGGTTTTAACTGGTATAGTCTTTAAATTTCCAAATCAACTTTTTTTTTTTTAATTTTACTTATTTATTTTTGCATAGAAAAACTGGGGTGTAGGCCAGAGGTGCAGGGGGTGAGAGGATTCACCAGAGACAGAGTGGGGAACCAGAACAGGTGGATCTACTGAAATACACTGCTGAGGGGAGCAGCGGGCGAGGCAGGAGAGGTCTGCTGTGCCATGTGGGTAACTTTTTGGCTGGGGATGGAACTCAGGCCTTAGCAGTGATAGCACTGAGACTTAACCCTTAGGCCACCAGGGAGGCCCCAACTTGTTTATTTCTGGGCAGTTTCTAGGAGTTTCTTGCTAACTTGGGGGCCTTGCCACCTCCTAAAGGCTCCTCATCAAGCACAAATGTAGGCATTTTCTGCACAGCCCCAGAGTGAAGTGGTCATTATGGGAATAGAGCAGATGTGGTTAAAGGCCAGCAATATACCATACTGGAGGTCAAAAAATAAACTTGCTTACATAACATATACAAACCTCCCAAACACTCCCTCAGCTTCTCTTGACAGAAGTGCTGATTTTTACCAAGAGGAAATATTCCATTATCCAAGATACGGAGCTCCACTCATAACATTTTTTGTCACCCCTGTAATAACTCTTTATGAAAGGTCTTTGTTCCTTTAAGACCCAGAGATGGTAGTTGTGGGAAGCAACTCAGTCAGCACAAGAAAAGGTTACTGAACAGAAACTCACTGGCTTACCTGTTTTCCCACCAAGGGTCTGATAATCTTGTGAACAGTTCCTCCTAAGAAGTCCTGGTAGCTGTGCTTATTTGGAAGATGTTTTATTCAGAGTTACTCAGCTCTGCCCTCGAATTTGCTGCGATCATGGTCTTGTAAATTCAGTCAGGATAGAGATCTAACTGTTCACAAATTGTGCCTACTACAATGTTCTTTCAAACAGAAAGCAAAATTGATAAGAATAATAATAATGAAAACCAGAAGGTGCAAGAACACTTGGGGAATGTCCTGAGATGGCCCAGGGCAGGAAAACTGCTCATTGTCATGGCTAGTGACATGATACTCAGTGTGGAAGCAGCAGACAGTGGGTGGATTTGGGCAGTGCTAGGAGATGGGGTCTTCCAAACTCCAAATTTCTATGCATTGCAAATGATTCCTTAGCCTAAAAACCTGGTTACCGTGTTTGACTCATTTTTACAGAGAGTGCTTTCTTCTTGACTTTTCTTTTTCTCTGTAGAAAATCCAGATTCTCTTACCATACTTTACCACTTGCAGTACACAAAAGGAGGTCAAACTGTTACATGTGCTGCTGCATAGTATTAAGGAGAAAACCCCTGTGAATACCTTTTGCTGCAGCCAAAACCACATGCCCTTTATTACAACCTACAGAGCAGTAAGAGAGGAAGAAATGTATTAGTGGGATGGCTGTGCCTCCAAGGGTGTGCAAAACCACAGGCAGGAAATCAGGAGCCCAAATATTTTTATTTGGCTCCTCCTCAGTCCATCTTTTGCCGGATGGCGCCCCAACCACCTATTCCTGGGACAAGGGAGGTGTAGAGAGAGGAAATAGGGAGGATCCCTCTCTTCCCAGGGTGTAAGGAGATTGCTGGAGGTCATAGAATCCCTTGGTAGTGACAATAACCACCATTTATGAACACTTAATGTGTGCTGGTCTGAGCTAAGTGCTTTCTGTACACTATCTAATTTAATCCTTACAAGGCCCCTTATGAGAAAGGTATAATTACCTTTTAAAAATTATGAATTGGTCTATTTCATCCCTACAAAGCATAGTAGCCATTCATTTAAATATATAACTTTAGTTCAAATGGGTTAAACAGTTTTTCTTCCTCCTACCATAAAAATATAGTAAATAATTTGCTTTAAAAACAAACAAACAAACCATGAACAAGTATTCTGGTGTCTTCTCACCCAGGTAACTTGTACCTCTGTGATAGGAGTTTGTAAATCGCTAAGAGGCTGGAGACAGGTTCAAATGTCTTTCCACTTAGAAGTTAAGTTGTCATAGAATCGTCCCTTTCTATCCTCTTTCATAACCTAATACATGTACACATTTTCACAGATTAGGAGACTGAGATTTTGAGAAGTTAAGCAACTTGCCTCAAAGCACACAGCGCAGGTATTAGAATCCAAATTCAAATCCCTGGCCTGTCTGCTCTATGACATTACTCATAGTCATGATCTTATGTTAGCTCACAGAAAGTTAGCAGACATTCAGCTTCCTCCAGTCCAGCCTTCACTGAATGCACAATCCCCTTGATAACACGCCCCATACAGGGTCATCTGTGATTCCAAGGCTTATTTCCCATTGCTACTAATCTGTTAGCTGCCAGCCTAGTCTTGAGCAAGTTACTTAGACTCTCCAAACTTCCATTTCCTTATATAGAAAATGATCGTGACAATCCCAGCATCTCAATTGTTAGGAGGATTAAATGAAACAAGAGGGAAGTGTCCAGCACAGCTCCTGACATCACGAATAGTCAGTGCAGTTTCCTTCCCATTGTTTCCTCAAATCCATCATCTATAAGCAGAATCATCTCTCTTGGCATCACGGAGAGGCTTCCAGTTGGCATCACAGTTTCTTGAATCTCTACTTATGTTATCGCTGTTCCCACCTAGGTTTTCTCAGGAGAGCTGGCATTCTTGTGCCTGTAGGAATTGTGTGCTGGCTGGGCACTGCTTACCTTATGGTCAGAAGGATTGCCTGAATGAAAGGCATCTCAGGTAGGAGCACAAGGAGACCTGGCACTGACAGAAGGTTGGGTTTTTTCTAGAAAGATGACTGTCATCTTAGTGGTGAATTGAAATATGTACAAGTTGGGAAAAGTAGCTCTTGTATGCCAGAAATAACACCCTTATTTGGGGCTGTTGCAAATTGTTCATTTTGGCTTTGTAGAGACCTCCAGTTCTTGACCATGGTAGGGAGAATCCATCTCTGTCATTGTCAGGGCTATAGAAAAGGGACTTGCAAACAAGGACCCATGCCTCATCAGCAGGTGCCTCAAATAGAAATTACATCCAGATGCTGTGCACTTTACTTACACTGACAGAAGTGGCAAAGAAAACAAAGGGTCCAGGTGGACCCCAGGCTGTGCCCTGTCTCACAGCTGATAGCTCATCTCTCTGAATCCCAAGGGATGACTGGTTGAGGTGGGGTTACACGTTGGTAAGTTAAGGGAAAAAAAAAACACAGCACATTTTATTATGTTAATGGAATGGTAAAGGAAGGAGTTGAAAGGCAGGTGTCCCCTGGGAGTCATTTGACAGTATTGTTACAATGTGATACTTAAAGAGAGCGTTTCCTTTTTTGCTCAAGAAACAGCCAGCTACCCAGGTGGTGCCTGGGTAAGGTTTCTCAGCCAGCACCTCTTTGACCTGATGAGGAAGCATGTAACAATGTAGGACTCTTTGTTTCTTCTAACAGCCTCTGAGTTCTGTCCCCTCTGACTCCTTCCTCTATGCTCTCCCCTGGAACCCTAGCCCCGGTCTGTGCTCTTTGAACTTGGCTTCCCAGACTACAAGGAAGGGGCCTAACCAGGCTAAGGCGTGGCCCTCCCAGCCTCCTACAGGCTCAGGCACCAGGGCCTTCTCCTCTTATCTCTGAGAGAGATTGCCACATTTGTAGGGAGGATCTGATGAGCGACTGCTTGGCCTCAGTCTGTACCATACTCTTGGCCAAGACAATCAGATAATCAGGATGCCCTAAGTTCTCTCCCTACTGAATCAGATGTTAAAGAAAAAGTCATTGTGCAAACCAAAGAATTGAGGAACTAAAACTATCATATTTGTCTGTGACAAGGCTATCTCTTGGCTTGATAAATCCTTATAGGTGGTGAAAACTAAAGGTCTTTGACATACACAGCTGGAGTTGATGTCTTTTAAATGTCTCTTATTTGGATTTTTTACTTCTTAGCACATTATAAACCCAGTAGGATGTATTCTTAGAAGTTACCCACCAATCCATCAACCGTGAGAAAAACTAGGATTGCTACTCTGTGGTTTGTGCTTCCAAAGTGCTCTTCACTCTGTTCAGTGAGCTGGAACTTCAGCACAACCCTATGGAAGGGGTAGATGACACAGTGGTCACTGAAGTGTCACGTGAGGAAGCAGCATGCGAGAGCTCATGCCATTTCTGCTTGCCCTTGGGACTTGAATCCTTAGACTTCTGAGCAAGAGGGTGGACTTGTCTCCTAAACTTCCGTCACTAAGCCAGCTGATCACCCCATACAGTGGGCCCTTCTCTTAACTACATCTGCCCACTTTCGCCCTCTCTTATTTTACACATCTGTTTATTAAATCCTATATTAGAGGAGGGGCAAAGGGAGAACTTAAGAAAATATTCATATCAAAAGTCACCACCAGATGGAAGGAAATAAGTAAACATTTAGAAGTTTTCTTTTTTTCCAGATGAGTTGAAAGAATGTCCCTGTGTGGCTTGAATGGCAGGAGAAGGAAAATATGCCTCTTTCAATGGGTTCTTCCTCTACTTTCAGTTGGCAGGAGATGCTTCAATAACAGGTTGTACAGAGTGTTACTTCAAAGACCTGGAGTTGGCACATTGGATACTCTTGCCACAAACCATATCCAAAAATGATTTAACTTCCCAGTGGGTGATGTGTACAAATGGCACACACACCACTAACGACACATGCACGCCATGTATGAATTCCCACATTCCTAATGTCTCATTCCAGCCGGAGAATTTTCTTTTCAGAGCTAAACAGAAATGAATCAGTTTGTAAAAGGAGATGTGTGAAAATGCCAAAGGAAAAATGAAAATCAGATGCTTTTAAAGGCAGAGTCTGCCGTGTTTTGCTCAGTGGTTCTGCACCCTTCCGTGCTTTCTCTCATTAGAGGTGACCAGGAAAATGGCCTTTGAAGGCTGCAGAATTTACCTCTATGTCTACAGTGCAGCTGAAGAGTCCTTGGTAGTTCTTTACAATGTTTATGAAACAGCTAACTCTTCTGAAGGAAAGGCATTTCAGGCTAGTTCTTATGGGCATAGCATTTATGCAGTACAGAATGTTTTTCTGTATCATTGCTGTTATGCTTTTAGCTATGGGATTCTTGAGAAAGGCCATTCCCACCACAATGAATCCCCTGTTAGCCTGACTGGGCTAAGGAAGAAAAAATCATTTTTTTCAGCCCATTGCATTAATAGGCTCAAAAAGATTTATGGGAACATAGAGTGGTAAGAAAGTAGTATTTTGTATCCCAGTTTCATTTTAATAAATCCCTGATGTAAATTCCTGTGTTTTGAGCCAGCTTCTCATCAACAGGATTAATACATGTTCTCTGCTGTTCCTGTCAGTGTAGAATATTGATCACAATGCAAAGGAAACTCAACTACCTTCTCTAGAAATTGCTACATGTGGGACAGAGTGGCTTTGCTCACAAGATAACTGCCAGTCTTAGATATACTGTCAGTGGTCACCTGGCATGTTTTACATACGCACCTACATATGAGTTCCCTGTATTGAATGAAATATAAGACATCTACATGGGCTAGTAGGATAGCAAAAATTAGACCAAGTGTCCATCAGAAGCATAATATAGGCTCTTCATATTCTTTTCTAAATCTTGATTTGATACTAAATATTTAACAAGGAGGGTGCACATGTGGACTTTTGCCTTTTTTTTTAAGTGGGGCATTATGATTATTCCAGGGAAAGATAGTACCATAAAATCAGAAATGTGCTAAGTAGTTAGAGAAATATGTTAACCCTCTATATGCAATGTTCCTCTTTTTTTTCCCCTAAGGAATGGCAGTGTTGAAAGGTACTAAGCCATTTTCCTTCCACATGGCAATTATCTCTGCTTAACTGAGATTAATTAAAGTAGAAATCCTGACTTAGAAAATATTGGAACACAAAATTGAAAACAACGGATATACACCAAAAATACCCATCACTCCTTTCTTAGTGTCCCCAGAATCACAATACCAATTCTTGGCAAGTCAATAAAATACTCTTATAGTATGATTTCTGTATATTGGTATAATATATTGGGCTGCAATATATATCCCTTTAAGTTATTTAAAATTGCTGTTGTCCTCACCCACCAGTATTCTTAAATACTGACGGAGTCCTAAAAGTACTATTACTGTTCCTGATTTTCAAACAATATCTTTTCAAATCATCTGGCACACTTTGAAATTTGAAGTTGAAATAGTATTAGTGAGAAAAACTATCAATCACTTGGGGAAAAATCTAAAACGGCTTAAAAAGAAAAATAGTAAGTCAAATTTTTTTTCGTTGTCATTGACCTTGAGCTTGAAGAAATTGCAAGAGGTCCCTAATGGTCTTTAGAGGCTTGCTTTGTTGTCTTGGATTTATAGATGAGAATTCAACTTCAGGAAATTAAGTGACTTGCTCAAGAAGTTATGGGGGAAAGCTTGTCTCTCTTCATTCAGATGTTTTGCTCATTGGGGTCTATACTTTCTGCTTACATGTCTATCCTTAAGTCTGTCCTGAGGTTTCTGTTTGTTTGGTTGGTTGGTTTTGGCATGCTCCCTTTTATTCCCTAGGGAATTCTGATTATTTGATCAGGGGCTAGAAAGGAAGATGTCCGACATCTATTTTTTTTTGGTGGAATCTGGTACACATAGATGAAAAATGTATATATTATCTACAAATGTGCAGAACTAAAAGTGCTTTATGATGCTATATAAGGTATTATAATCACCACATGGCTCATAGGATATCATCAAACTTAGAATATATCACCGATTAACTTTTGGAGAGGAAGAAATTCTACATTAAATGCACATATCAATTCTAAGATACATTCCATTAAAAGGATAGCGAAGATAAAAAATGCTGTATTTTAGAATAGAGGAAATAAGCAATGACCATTATACCTTCCCTACTAGAATGTTCATTTTTTCAAGATAGTCATTTTCAGAATAATCTATACACTGTTCTGTAACTATTGCATTTCTAAAAAATATTTAAATTGGTTTATCAAAATTGGACGTCATAAATTATGGTTTTTCCAACTCAAAAATTCACTTGCTTTAGTAAAATTAAGAAGAAAGTGAAACTGCTCCAATTGACATCCTACTCCATGATAGTAACAATGAAGTACTTACTGGCACTCTTATGGCAAGGAATGAAAGTAAGAGCCAGTGATGAAATAGAATGAAACTGAGAGAGAGGAGTTGATAATAACTGAATCATTGGTTTCCTTGGAAATAATTTTTAGGTAGTAATTTATAAAACCAGAATTTTCAGCTTAGTAACCTATTAAGATTCTTACTTAACCCCTTAAGTGGACAGAGGTCATCATCTGCAATCACTGACCAATTCTGGGATGGGTTCACTTTAATCTTGAAAATGCCAGGATTTTATTAATGTAAATCACCTATAGTTTTTGAAAATTCCATCCGTGCTTGATAAAGAGACATAATAATAACTATTATTATTATTATTGTGTTATTATATAATTAAGAGGAGGCAAACTGAACTGTCAGAGCAATCTGGAAATGAACTCGGGAAGGAACTTAGTGTGCTGTTACCTGAAAGACTCTAGCTTGGTAATGAGGTAAACAGGCTTCAGGCTGACCTCAGATGGGAAAAGTACATTTGCTCCCTACACCCTCTATGGGCCCAGGCCAAATGAAATGACAAGTCCTCCTCCACCCTCTGTTGTGATGTTAACTCTGACCTCAGAATTAGAAACCTGGGGCCCTGGCTTAACATTGGCCTGGCTTTCTGGAAGAAAATGAAAGTGTCAGTTGCTTCTCATTTGGAGCTTAGTAGCTTGCTGAAAACATTCAGATCATATTCGCTATTGCGGAAGACGGTGGTGGGATAGACAGGGAGAGAAATGAAAAGACAAAAAAAGGAGACAGATTTGCACCATCCTGATGTGTAACTCTATGCCAGGGGCCTTCACACCAGGGCGCTGGAAGGATGTTCCAATTACCTCATGGGGAAAGGCCCTGCCATTGTCCTTACCTCTGTGTGGAGACTCCCAGGTGCAAGCCAGAGGGCTGTCAAGCAGCATGCTCTTCTTGCTGAACAACCAAAGGACCTATGGAAAGGAAGATAACTTGGGCCTGTCATCTCAAATTACAGGGAGCAGAAACAAAAGTCAAATCAAATGTTACTGTTTCCTTGCCAGTGCTGAGTACAAATGAGCCTATGGAAAGCTTGAATTCTCAGTAACCTAAAAAAGAAAATGCAGGCAAAATAGGATCCCGTCAGAATGATACCGTTTTTTCAAAGTAGAACATGTGGTTTAAGGGGCAGGTTTTGAGCAAAATCAGAGGGAGACCTTGGGCATCTTTGTTAAAATTCCCAGTAGACAGAGAAATCTTGTTCTAGACAGATTGATAGCTTTTGGCTTTACATGTTTGGAAAAGTCCAGATTTTACCAGTTCCAGAGCAGAAGAATGATTTAATGACCAGACTGACAAGGGAATGTAGAAGTTTGTCTTACACTGATTCATCTCTTACCCACTGGGGACTTTGGACAATTTTCTAAATCTTTTTAGGCCTGTGTTTGTTCATTTTTTCCTGGCACATTGCTTGCAGTGGCATAAAAGGGGGAAAGCAGAGGGTGAGGGGTTAGGAGTCCTGAGATTTTTTTCCCCTGTTTCTCTCTTGTTAGGTGAGTTAGTGACTGATACCTTCTGAGGCTCCATTTCATCAAATGAAGGATCTGAAGACACAACATATATGCTGCTTTGGTTCTACAGCCTGATACTTTGATTTATTAACTCTTACCCTAATTGCTAAATTGCTGACATTTTATCCTCTTTGATAGAGACAATTATAGGGAGTTTTCTTCTCCTCCAGCAATATAACCCAAAATCTTCTGCCTGTCTCCTCAGGGACTATTTCTGTATGTGTTAGTAATATTCATTGGTCTTCTTTGTGTTTTATAGAGTTGTAGCAGAGAGAGAGAGAGATACACTAAAGACAGGTAGAATGAAAGCCTGATTAATCCTGAGAGGGGAGAAGCACCCAGGGCTTCCACCACCTTTTTTGTCAGTCCAGCCTCTGATGCCTCAGAAAGCTCTCTGGAGAGGGGAGGGACAGAGCATGGGTGGTGAGCCTTCAGGAGGGCCAAATAGGCCCTTGCCTGACTTGGCCACACCTCAGGACAAAGCCCTTACTCCAGCCCACACCTCTATTTTCAGCTGAGTACCTTCCTCAGCTAAAGAAAAGGGTTGCATGTATTGGGTGAGCTCCTTCCCAGCACCATGATAAATTCTGAGATGATTACATTTCGAAAGGCCATCCTTGCTCTGAATGATTCTGACTACATTTAGTATTTATGTGGTTTGTTTTTATTCCTCCCTTTACTATGTTACAATGAACACTCTCCTTTTGGAAGTCCATCCTAGAGGTGTCCTATTTCATTTAAAAATGGTCAGCTTGGTGTTATAATCTTTATTCTTTGTAGCAGAGCTATTAACATCCCATTTGGTTCAAAGGCCCCCTCTTCCATCAGTACACTGTATATTTGCACCTATTACGTATTCTGTCTTTTCACAGGTCACATGTATACAGAGAGTCCCCAGATGTGGCTATCAGGGCATCCCTTTTTAAAATTGATCATTCTCAACAGTCTCTTTAACTAGACACTCATTCCCCTTTTGTATGATTCTTTACCCCCAATGCCACCAGAATCTTGTCAAGCAATTCAGCCACTCATCCTCCTTGAAATGGTTTCCCACAGCCCTCTGTTTTTCCCTTACTGCCCCATGAGTGTGGTGGCAGAGCACTAGTGGGCTCTCCTTGAAGCTGCAGGTCCTTCATCCCTGGTGACTTCCTGCAGCTGAAGACTTCGGCTATCACTTTGGGTATAGGTCAAGGCCTCCTACCACCCTGGATCCTCACTCGAGAACAATTTTGTTCTGCTTGAAACTCTAATTTTGGTTTCTTTCCCTGCTGTTTGAGACAGACAAGTCAAGGTGTGTCACAGCCAGTGAAAGGACAGCAGAGTATAATGGCAGTGGTATAGACTAACCTCTCTGTCACAATATGCAAAGCTCTGTTGTCTCAAAACAATATTAAACTTAGTAGGTTGGTTCTAAATACCATTGTGTACCTACCTTCCTGAAACTGCGAGAGATTAGATTTCTTTGCTAAGTGTCCATCAGAGGGCAGAAGCTGGGTAATTCCTTCATTTCTTCAAACCCTTCCCTCTGTGAAATCTTTCTGCAGATTTATAACTTATCTTAAAGTTTATGAACATTTTGTATCCTATTCCTTGCTATATTTAAATTTGAAAATCTGTTAGATTATTTATATGCATAAAAATAGTCACTTCCAAATGTGAGTCACATTCTGGGCTCCCAATGGATCATATATGCTATTGTGTATAGTTGGCACTACATAGACCCAGATTTAGAACCACAGTACAATACTGTGGATTAAAATAGACTTTATAGAGAGGCCTAAAATCTAATAATTTTCATTCAATAGTATTTCCACAGAGATATTTTATTACAAATGGCCATCTTCAACATTTATTCTTTCCATAAACATTTGTTGAAAAGGCAAAGGAAGTCCATTTTTATTGAGGGTCAAGAATGCGCTGTATGCTTTAAATATTTTATTTCAGAACTTCAAAGTAACATTATGAGATATTCATTTATACTCATATGAGATATGTAGACACATATATCCAGCATTTTACAAATAAGAACACTGGAATATGGAGTGGGGATGCCAAGTCTTCAGTGGGGCGGTGGTCACAAAAACAAAGCCAGCAAAAAGTAGCTGTAGAGCCAGATCCTCAAAGAAGAGGGAACCGAACTGTTAGAATGAATGTTGTTTCCTCAATGAGGGGAGGCCTAATACAAGGTAATGGTTCGTTTTGTGTGGTGACTTGAGTGAATCACAGGATGCCCAGATGTCGGATTAATCATAATTTCTGGTCATGTCTGTGAAGGTGTTTCCAGAAGACATTAACATTTAAATCAGTAGACTGAGTGGAATACACTGACCTCCCTGTGGGGGGCATCACACATTCCATTGGGGCCTGATAAAGGTGGGGGGAGGGAGACTCACCCCTTCCTGCCTGCTTGAGCTGGAATTATCAGTTTTCTCCTATCTCTGATCTGGAATTTACAACATTGCAACTCTGGTTCTCAGGCCTCTACACTCACACTGAAGTTATACCACTGACTTTCTTCTGTCTCTAGATTGCTGATGGTGGATTATGGGATTTATCAGTCTCCATAATGGTATGAACCAATTCCTTATCAATAATAAGTATCCTATTGGTTCTGTGACTCTGCAGAACCTTGATACCATAGTTAAAAAAATGTTCCCAATCAAAAAGTAAAGGTTCAATAAACTGAAAACAGTTCTGAAAAGTCGGAGAAAATATAGAAAATATAAACAGACATATTTGGAGTAAGTAAAGAATAAGTGAGAGTAAAATAAAAGTCTTACCTTTAAAATGTGCTCTTTTCAATTTTTTATTACATGTGTCACTTTAAAGTAATGGAAAAAATCCCACAGCATTCTTTTAAGATTCTTTATTCTTTAAGTGTATTATAAAATCAAAAACATTTTAATTTGACTTTTTTTTTTTTTTAATTTTATAGAGGCATGTTTATTTATTTATGTATTTATTTATTTGCTTGTTTTGTTTATACATGCACTGGGTACAGTCTGAAGCGCGGGAGGGCGAGAGAATTCACCAGAGCCAGAGCAGGGAGCAGAGCAGGCAGAAGGACCGAAGTACACTGCTGAGGGGAGCAGCGGGCCGCAGGAGGGGTCTGCGCGCCATGTGGGACCCTCCTCTGGTGGCCGGGGGGCAGCCGGGGATCGAACCGGTGCCGCAGAGGCTGCGGGCAGGTTCGCAAGCCAGCGCTCAACCGCTGCGCCACCGGGGAGGCCCTTAATTTGACTTTTAAAGAAACTTTTCCAACAAGGAAAAGGAAACTTAGTTTATAAAAAGAGCAAATTATTATTAAAAGGTATGAGTTGATTTTCAATTGCATTTATTAAACAACAACTGTCTTCCAGTGTATCCACATAATTTTTATTTCAGTCATTTCTCATGGATGGGAGGAGCACCAACATTTTGAAGCTTCCCTCTAATTGATGTCCCTGTGGACAAAAACTAACTCTGCACAGCATCTCTGAATCCTGAATTGTTTTAGTTCATCTATGAAATAAATGCAGATGTTTTAAAAATAGCTTTATTGGGGCATACTGTTTATACCATAAAATTCACTCAATGCACATGTGCAATCCAGTAATTCTTAGTAAATTTAGAGTGTGTGCTGACCTCACAATACAACTTTAAAAAGTTTTATCAACTCATCGAGTTCCCTCATGCCCATTTGCAGTCAATGCAGGTAACCACTGACTGCTTTCTCTATATAATATATTCACATTTTCTAGAAATTTCATTAAAGTGGAATAATGTAATATGTATTCTTTTGATTCTGGCTTATTTTAGTTATTAAATTTATTTTCTATGTCTTTGTTAATTTGGGGGCAGCATTTCTCTCCTCTGGTGTAGTTCCCATAGTTCTCCCACCACTAAAGCACAGTGCTCCATCACCACAGTCCCTTGTGTTCTTCCCTCCCGCTCCCCTGCTGAATGCTCAGATCTATGCTCAGCTTGTTTGTTTTGTCTGATTTTGGCTTATTCAACCTTAAATACTATTTTTCAGGTTTATTGATATAACGTGTATCCTTTGTTCAGTTTTTAATGATAAATAGTATGACATTGTTACCATATTTCTTAATTTGGATTGCTTCCAGTTTGATGCTACTGTAATTTAGCTCTGAGAAACATTTATGCACAAGATTTTGGATAGCTGTGTGTTGTTATTGCTCTTCGTTAAAGACTTAGGAGTAGAATTATTGGGTTATATGACATATATATTTAAAGTTTAAGAATCTGCCAAACTTACTGTAGCTACACCAGTGTATATTCCTACCAGAAATGCATTAAGGGTTCCAGTGATTCCACATCTCTCCAACACTTGATATTGTCACGTTATTTTTTTATTGTAGTTATTTAGTATGAATGCATTGGGTTCTAGTTGAGGTTTTAATTTGCATTTCTCTGCTGACTAATAATGTTGATCATATGTTCATATGTCTTCTTTGGTGAATGTCTTGCAGTCTTTTATATATTTTTACATCATTTTTCATTATTGCACAATGTATGCATTTTCATTTTGGTTATATTCCCCATACAATTCCCACCCCCCTTATTTTGACCCTAATCCCTCTTTGCCTACCCCTCGCCCCCATAGTGTGTTTCTGGTTTATAGTTACTTGTTGATTTTGATTTGCAATCTTTTAGCTTCCTTATAATGAAGTTATTTGTCTTCTAATAAGTATATTAAGAGTATTTCTGATTTTAGATTTTATGACATATGTGATTTACACATATTTTTCTAGTGTATGGTTGTCTCTTCATTTTATTAGTGATGTGGACTGAAAAGTTTTAACTTGAGAAAATCCATTGTAATGATTTTTTCCTTCATGTCCATATTCATGTTTTTGATGTCACATTAGTACCCAAGGTTACAAAGGTTTTTTTCACTTAAAAAATTTTTCCTTGTCAGTTTTTTCATTTATGTCCTTAGGAGAAACGTCTAGAGTCCAATTAACAAAACTACTTATACAGAAACTTTGCTTCCAATAATGGTGAAATATTGTTGGATGAGAAAACAAGACTAAAACATAAAAGATTGTGTAAAGCAAACATTTCAGGTACTGGAAAATGACCAAAGCTAAATAAGAGCTTGAAGTGTTTATTCCTGAAAAACTGCGATCACATTGGGTAAGAATGGCAATTAGTGGCCTTCTTTTCTGGGGGAATTTTGATCCCCTCTCACTTCAGCTTGGGTGTTGAAAACCTACAGTTTTACCAGCTGGAAGAGGCAGATTTAAGACAGGTGGTAGGGAGTTTGAAATTTAAGAAGGAGATCTGGAAGTTAGATGGAGGCAGAGAAGGCCTAAGTAGGAAATTAACAATTAAGTCTCCATACATTCTTAGAGATTTTATGTACCTGTGTGTATGTACGTGGATGTGTGAATATATGTGTACGTACATATATTTGTGTATGTGTGTGTATATAATTTCATCCAATATATGTGGAAGAGCTCAGTGATTTCTAGAAAAGTGGAAAGTGCTGGGAGAATTTTGAAATTGTAACTTTTATTGCATTCCTTAACCCACATACAGTTTAGACAGCAAAAGGTAGAAAACTGTGTAGGCTTAACGTAGCAGAATATAACCTCTGCCCAAATTGACCCACTGCTGATCTTTACTGATGCAGAAAAGACCTTCATCAAACCCAGACCCTCCCTCTTCTTCCCCCAAATACTAAGAATTATCAGTGGCTGTATAACAAGATGGAAAGATTTTATGGTTTGAATTCAAGAAGTTCACTACTTATTGAAATTAAAAAGAAAAAAACCCAGAATAGCAAAATAGGTTATAGAATATATACTTCTTAACCACAATGTGCAATTTTCAATAGAAAATTATCAGATATGTAAAAAGTATATCGTTCTCTGGAGTGGGATGGGGAGAGGGAGAGAAATCAGTAGAACCTGACTATGTAGATCCAGAGGTTGAATATGGCAAAGACCTCAAAGCAATTGTTAAAATATATTCTGAGTTGAAGGAAAATATGCTAAGATTGAGTCAGTAAATAGGAAATAGAACCTATAGAAAGAAAAAATAAAGTGGACAATTCTAAACTAAAATGGCTTAAAAACAGATTTGATATGGCAGACAAAGAAGAGGGGAAGTTAGTTGTTATGGTTATCATTATGTGCCTACACATGAAGCTGTGTGTAATGTATATAATTTTTCCCCTTTGGGTTTTTTAATATGTAGCAATTTGACAATGATATGTCTAAGTTCAGCTTTTAGTGAGTTCTTTCTTTTTGAGGTTTGCTGAGCTTTTTAGATGTAAGCATTTCTTTACCAGGTTCATGGAGAAATTGTCTATAATTCCCCCCACCCCCGTATTTATTTCTGTCCCAATCTCTCCTTGTGGGATTCCACATGTAGTTCATTATACTACAAGTCACTAAAGTTTTGTTCATTTCTTATTCTCTGTGCTTTCCACTCATTATTTGGATAGTTTTTATTGCCCGGTCTTCATGTTCATTCATCTTTTCTCCAGTAGTTCTCAATCTGCTGTTACACTCATTCGGACATTTTTCTTTTTGGTTTTTATATTTCTTCATAAGTGCAGTCTATATTCAGTGCTTTTATATACTTTCTCTCTATTTGTTTTTGACCAAGATATTCCATCTGTATTATTCCACATTCATAATAGCTATTTAAAATTCTTGTCTGCCGATTTTCAACCTGTGTTATGTCTGAGTCTATTTCTAATTATTGTTTTTCCTTGTGAATATAATCACATTTTCCTGCTTTTATAAAAAAGTTTAGTAACTTTTTTACTGTAAGATGCTGGACTACCACTTAGAAACCTCCGTGTACACACATATACTCACACATACATCCCACTATCATGCACTCAGCTATATTTTTTTTTTGTATATGATGAACTATTCTTTTATTTCCCTTATTTTTTTCTTGAAATATTTTTTATTTAAATTTTATTTTTATATTCCCCATACAATTACAACCTCCTTATTTTGACCCCAATCCCTCCTTTCCCCACCTCTCACCCCCCATAGAGTGTCTCTGGTTCATAGTTGTTTGTTGATTTTGATATTTTCTTTCTTATAGTTATTCTTTTTCCTAGTCCCTTATTTAAGTTTTCTAGATTCCTGCTATTCCTGGCTTATTTCGCTGAGCATGATCCCTTCCAGCTCCATCCATGTTGCTGCAAATTGCATGTGTTTATCTTTTTTGAATGCTGGCACTCAGCTATATTTATGGATATGTCCATTCTTTATGTCTTGCCTAGATGAGTGGTAGAAGATGAAGGAGAATCTAACAAGGCAACCAGGTGAATCCTAAAAAGGCAGACTGACTGCTTACTTCAGCACTGCTGGAATTAATTACCACAGCTGCCAGTGGAAATCAAAGAAAACGAATGTGACATTTCTGGAGGTGGACAACGGTAAGTGTTTGTTGTTATTTTTTGAGATGTAAAATTGTTTATTGGGGGAAATGTTTAACCAGAGGGAAACTGTTGGAATGGGACACCAAACCTGTTACTCTTCTGTTGTTGGACATCAGGTTTTCAGGAGAATATTCACAGTGAGAAGGCATCTATCACAATGAGCTTGGTGAAGTTAGAGGGTAGGAGCAAGGAAATTTGCTGTGAAGAAAGTGGCCTTGTTGGCAAGCAGAAACCTCTGGAGTTCCAGGGGATATTGCTGCTTCCCCCCACGCCTCAAAGGCCTGCACCTCTCCTCTCCATTACTAGGCTGGAGAGTGGGGGATGGCCTCTGGTGTCCTCCAGGTGCAACTCTCCTACCTGCTTGTGAGTGGATATTGTGGACAGAGTCTAGATATTGTTGTTTTTCTTTAAAGATATTAAGCATTTTTCTGGCAAGCATCTAGTTTATTGGAAGATTCCACTGAGGTTTGTTTTTAAGGGTTTTTTAAGGCTGTTTAGAGTTGCCTTTACTTTAAGGTTTGAGTAAATTCTAAAGCATGGTTTTCTTGAGATCACAACTAAGCAGGATATTTAGTGAGATCTCTGTTTTCTGAATGTTTGAAATGTAAACATTTCCCAGGCTACTGTGACCTTTTGTGTCTCTGTTCAACGTATAGTCCCCCAATAATGTCTTTCTGGATCCATGCAAACTCAGCCTGTGCATGTCTGCCTTACACTCATCCAAAGATTCAGTTACCTCCCTGGCAGATTGTTTCCCTGAGAAGTTCCCTCGCTGCCAATATCTTGCCCCAGAAATTGCAGGCACCTTGTCTGCAACAAACTGTGATTTCTGTTTTTTCTGAAGCTGAATGAGATCATTGTTCTCAGTTTGGGTTCCACTTCCTTGTGTCACAGTTTGAAAAGGGCCTTCAGGCAAGAAGCCCAGGTAAACATTTAGGTCATCTTCTGTTTGTTTCCTTTCTCTCAACATTACAGCTCTGTGCCATATGTTAACCAATGCTTGAAAACTTTTGTTACATATATTCAGTTTTATATTTCTTTACAATTGCTGGGTAACATTGATACCCCTTATATACCCCATCTTGATTGGAATGCAAAGTTTTAAATGTGGGGTTCATTTTGTATGCTGTTTTATTTCCCGCAATGGAGCTTCATATATGTTCCCTCAATATTTATTCTCTTAGTTTTTCACAGTTCTCCTATTAAGACATTAGCACTTTACCAGTGATAAGGTTTTGAAACTTTATTTTTAGCTATTTTCTTTTTATTTTGTTTATTTGTCAGAAGATACGGTTTTAAAATTTTATGTAGTCAGATTTATCAATCCTTCCTTCTATGGTTTCTACTTGGAGTCATTTTAAATTCCTCTGTTTCTTAAAGTGTCTAAGTAACCTTTTAGACCTTTAAATACTTAATTTAGCTGGAATTTACATGGATATAGGGTATGAGGAAGGAATTTATTTTTGTGCATAGTGAGATAACTAACATTCTCATGCTCTGTGTGATCCAATCTATCCCTTCAATCACTGATTTTAAATGTCAGCTTTCCTGTATATTAATTTTTCTAAAATATTGATCTTTAGATTGGTCTATTTATCTATTTTCATACTAGTAAGCAATAAAAGGAGTTGCATATTAATATTTCTTCCACTATATTTTGCATTTGAATAACTATCTGCATATATTTTACAAAATTGAGCTTGTGCAGTTTATGTAATATTTTAGCCTTTGTTTCATTCTAGGAACTCATATTTTCAAAAAATTAAATTATTCACAAACATGAATTTAATATTCCATCAATATGTTTCATCCTTTGCCAATTCTTTAATGATGAACATTTAGTGAATATCCAATTTTTTACTATTAGAAAATAATGCTGCTGTGAATTTTTTTGTGTATACATCTTGGTATTCCTCCCCTTCAAATATTTGTTCTTGCAACATATATTCCAATTGCTTTCTAGAAGATATGTTCATTTTAAAATTTTGCCAGGAATTATGAATGTGGTTGAAGGGTTAGAATTGGGGAATTGAGTTAATTTTAAAAAATTATTTAAATATCAAATACATGACTTGTTTTGGGTCCATATATATCAGACACAGTTCTTACCTATGCCTGTGAACAATAAACTGTAAGTCTAAGTCTTATATGTAAGTAGACAGAGCTTTATGAAAATCTCCTTCCCAACATTTGGATTCTCAAGATAATGGAGCAAACAAACAATAACCAAATAAATAGCTTCTTGAAGTGTTACTCCTCCCAGAAATTATATTCATTACTTTACAACACTAAAGTGCTTTCTTAGAATATTCGTATCAGAATATTTTGCTTTGAAATAGATATATCTTATGCTATTGTGAAACATAGTATGTTTAAACATCTATGAGAGAAGACAGATGGCTAACAGGCACATGAAAAGATGTTCATGATGACTTATTAGGAAAATACAAATCAAAATCACAATAAGATACCTCCTCATTCCTGTCAGAATGACTGTTATCAAAAAGGCGAATAAAACACTTTGTCAAATATGTAGCAAAAAGTGACCCCTTTTGCACTGGTGGTGGGAATGTCATTGGTGCAGACACTGTGGAAAATGGTATGGGAATTTTTCCAAAAAATTAGCACTACAATTATTTTATGATCCAAGTATTCTACTTCTGACTATTTATGTGAAGATTAGGCAAAAACACTAATTTCAAAAGACATGTATCCCAATGCTTACCATAGCATAATTTATAATAGCCAAGATCTGAAAAGAAACTAAGTGTCCATGAATAGATGAATGCATAAGAAAGATGTGATATACATGAATACACACACACACACACACACACACAGTGGAATACTATTCAACTATAAAAAAAGATGAGCTCTGCCATTTGTGACAACATGAGTGGGCCTTGAGGGAATTATGCTAAATGAAATAAATCAGGAGAAACACAAATATTGTATGATTTCATTCATATGTAGAAGAAACAAAGCAAATGAACAAATAAAAACCAAAACAAATTTTTAGATTCAGTGACCAAATTGGAAGTTAATAGAGGGAAAGAGCTTGGGAGTGGATAAAATGGATGAAGAATGTCAGTTGTATGGTAATGAATGGAAACCAGACTTTTGGTGGTGATTATGAAGTAGAATATACAGATAATGAGCTATACTGCTGTATATCCATTTATATAATGCTGTAAACCACTGTTACATCAATATAAATGATGAGAGAAAAATAAAAATCTGCAGCTACAATATTAAAGTATACAATATTAAAATATACAAATATGTATGTTTTATATATCTTATATTTATAATAATAGTCTATGTATAATATATAATATGCAATATATAGTTATATGTTAAATATATAAAATAGATATTTTAGCAGCTTTCTTGAATATAATTTGCTTGCCATTCAATTGACCCACTTAAAGTATACAGTTCAGTAGTTTTTAGTATATTAATATACTAAAAGTTTTGCAACCCCTCACCACACTCTAATTCTAGAACATTCATTACCCCTTCCCCAAAAACCCATAGCCATGAGCAATCTCTCCTCATGGTTATCTACCCTGCCCCCTAGTCCTAGTCAAATGCTATTTTACTTTTTGTCTCTTTGACTATATCTTTTCTGGACACGTCAAATATAGTCATATAATATGTGGTCTATTTTAGTTTCCTTAGTATATTTTCAAGATTCATTTATATTGTAGCATGTATCAGAGAAGCATTTCTTTTGTTGTTAAATAATCTATGGTATAGATTTACAGTCTTTAATATATCCATTCATCAGTTGATGGACATTTGGGTTTTTTCTACCCTTTGCTTAGATGAACAGTGCTGCTCTGAACATTTTTAGGTGGTCATACATTCATTTCTCTTAGATACATATCTCAGGAAAGTTTTTGTGTTATGAGCTAATTCTTTGATTTGAGGAATTATCGCAATGTTTTTCAAAGCACCATTTTACATTCCCATTAGCTATATATGAGAGTTCTAATTTCTCCATAACCCACCAAAATCTGTTAATATCTGACGTTCTGATTCTAGTCATCTTGGTGGGTGTGAAGTAGCATCTTATTGTGGTTTTGATTTATATATTCCAAATGGCTAATTATGTTGAGAATCTTTTCATGTGCTTATTGAGCATTTGTTATATCTTCTTTGGTGAAATTTCTATTCAGATCCCTTACCTATTTCTAAGTTGGCTTATTTGACTTTGAATCATTGAGTTTTAATAATTCTATACATACTCTAAATGCAAGTCTCTTATCAGGTATGTGATTTGCAAATGCTTTCTTTCTGCACTCCATTTTTTACTCTTTTTTTTTTTTAAAGATTTATTTATTTGTACAAGCACTGGGCATAGTCAGAAGTGTGGGAGGGTGAGAGAATCCACCAGAGCCAGAGCGGGGAACAGAACAGGCAGACCGACGAAATACACTGCTGAGGGGAGTAGCGGGTGCGGCAGGAGAGGTCCGCATGCCATGTGGGACCCTCGCTGGCGGCCAGGTATTGAACCGGTGCTGTGGAGGCTGTAGGCAGCTTCGCAGCCCAGCGCTCAACCACTGCACCACCAGGGGAGGCCCTGCATTTTTTACTTTCTTAATAATGATATCTTTGGAGCACAGAAGTTTTTTTTATTATTATTATTTTTAAGATAATCCAATTTATCTCATTTTTGTTGTATGCTGATAGTGTCATACCTAAGAAGGGTTTGTATAACCCAAGTTTATGAAGATTTACTCCTGTTTATCCTTCTGTTTTTTCCTAGAAGAAGTCTAGTTTTAGTCTTTTGTATGTGGATGCCTAGTTGTCCCAGCACCATTTGTTGTAAAAACTATTCTTTCCTCTTGAACTGTCTTGACTCCTCAAACAGATATTTAAAGTCCTCAACTTTACTGATGAAAATTATTAGTTTTGCTTTGTTGACATCTTTTCTTTTGAAAGGTGGTATGTAGTAGATCTGAGAGAGGTTTTTATGGATATGTTGAAACTGC